CGGTCGCTGCGCATCCTGCCCCTCCTGCGGCCGGGCCCGCGCGCCGCTTCGCGGAGGCGCCGCGGTCAGCGACGCGGCCTTGCGGGCAGGAGACCCCGTCCCCGGACTCTCCGAAACCTCCTCATCCTGATCCTCTGCTCCCAAGCCAGAGCTGCTCTACACCAAGCCCTGTCGATTTGGGATTTTTTTTTTTTTTTGCAGTGATCTCCCGACGCAGCCTTCCGATCTGCGAACAGAGGGGAACACTTGTGTCACATTTTAAAACGTGGGTTAAGTACTGGGGTAAAAAACCCCTATTCGGCTCCCCTTGCAACTGAGAGGGTAGGAAACGAGCCTTCCCGGCCGCCAGGATTCAGGAAAGAGATACGTCTTAAATGAATGGAGAAGCTCGGCCTTAAGGAAATAGCTAATGTTTTGGAGGAAGTAGAAGTCTAAAGTTGGTCTTACTGATCTCAAATTGGAGCAAGGGGAGCTTCGGTTAGATATTGGGAAAAACTTGCTTACTAGGAGAGTAGGGAACCAGGGCAACAGGTTGCCCTGAGACACGAACCCTGCGTCCCCCTGGGGCTGGGGGGCACAGCGAGCTCCCTCAGGTGGCCATGGCGCTGTCAGCACCGGGCGGCGGTGAGCACTGACCAGCGGCTGCAACCACCCACAGACACAGCTGGCAGCATCAGCAGTGACCAGCAGCAAGTGGTGACCACCACAGACACCGTCAGCAGTGGGGGCAGGAGGGGTGGTGAGCTGCAACTGCCTGCAGTGCGCCACCCACATGTACCCCATCCCCGTCGCCAATGCCTAGAGAGGTGCTGGACTCTCTGTCCTTGGAGGTTTGAAGACCCGGCTAGGCAAAGCTTTGGCTGGGCTGACGTGGTTGGGGCTGGTCCTGCTTGGAGCAGGGGGCTGGACTAGATGTGACCCCCTGAGCTCCCTTCCCACCCTCATCTTCTGTGATTAAAATTTAATGCTGGCCATTTAAGATGCATTACACCGCACTGCTAATACTAGCACCCCACTACTGCTGCATTATTCAATGATGGCAACAAAGTAATTATTTTTCATAGAGCACCATTTTCTCCTCAAGAACAAAAAAAAGCGTCCACTCTATTTTTTCTTCAAATGAAACTTACTACCTTTTGTTAACCACATAATAATTTACAATTGTCGATATTTAGCAGACACACAGCCTGTATAAACAGTGACGGAAAACCAAAGCCCTCCCTCTTCAGCTACACAGGGTAAAAGAGCCCTCTAGTGGGTCAGGAGCTCCAACACCTACACAAATAATGGCTCTTGCACAGAAGCGTTACGTTTCACAAATGATTTTCACATCGGGCATTTTCATAAGTTTACACATGCTGAAAGCTGTTTTAGGTTTCCAGTGTGTTGTCCTCTTGAACTGCTAATGGTGAGCATCTCACTTCAGTGTCTCTAGTCAAATGCTTCTCTTTTCAACTGTTTTTTCATTTTTCTTGGCTCCCAAGGGAATCTTCTGTTCCAGAATCTCAAAACACTTGGTATATGTTAATGTTCAAGACCCAAAAATCACCCCTTAACCTAGGGAGACATTTGCCACATCTTAGATTTAAGAAAAAACCGAGGAAAACATTTTGCAGGGAATGGAAACCATCTTTCCCTTGTCCAGTCCCGTGATATTAGAAAACATCCTCATCTTTGATGTAAGCTTTTTCAATTAAAAACAGTGATATTATGCTTTGGGACTGTGTTTCAGTATTGTTCTGTTTTAAATGTACTTAACTGCTTTAAGGACTTGCATGCAGAATGACCTCCCCTCTCTCAAATCTTTGGTGGTGAAGAGAGAATCTCTAAAACATGAGCAGACTTTGTCATTGCAAAACATCCAATTATTTTGCAAATGTTTTCTATGTTTTACTTTGGTAAAACAACAAGGAAAAAAAAAAAAAAGATAAACAAGAAAAAAAAACCCACAACCCCAGCACAGTATAAACCTCAAAAAAAAAAAGATTAGGGGGCCCTGGGTCCAGGAATATAGCCTATTTCAAGCAAGTGTTTAAACGAGTCTGCCTTAGATGAACAGGGACTGTGGCACTAATGGAATTAAGATGAATCTGGAAAAGATAACAGAAAATTTCAGCTTGCAAGACACCATAACAAGACAAGAAATTTATAAGAGCAAGGTAAAGGGCTCCATATTTTTGGCTGAGAAAAGTCTGGGTAAGGGCACCAAAAGAAGAAAAAGAGTTCTCTCACTACCTCAGTATAACAAAACAAAACTCTGGGTGCAATCTGGTCATTGTTATATATAAATTTCCAGCTATGAATATAGAAAAAAATCTGTAAGAGGAAGCATTAGTTCAAAGTGTTTGGAGACAGGCTCAAATACAATAAAGTAACCAGCTTCTTTTAGTTTTCTATGATGAACAAATCCACAAGAGAAATAAAGCCCACATTTCAATTGCCTTCTCTGATTCTCTCCGATTCTCAGATATTTATTCAGGGCTGGATGCTATCAACTTTAAATACCGTGGGTTTTGCTAAGTTAAGCACTGATCACTGTCAAAATAACAAGAGTCATGAATCAAAATCCATAATTTGGCGGGGGGAGGGAAATCACTTCAACGAGGCCCAGTCTCACAGTAGGATGCTCACTGAGTGACGGCTTTCAGAATTCCCCGGAGAACCTTGTAACTCATTAACTGCTGGTTTTCTTTGGGAGGGAAACAGGGCCCACGCTCTGTAACATAAGCATAGGGGAAGCGCAGCACCCACAGTCCATCAGCTGGCAGGGTTATTTCCTGTTTCTCAGGATAAAATACAGGACAAGGTGGAGGCCCTGGCTGAACCTGTAAAACAGTGAACAAAGTGGGGGGAAAAAAAACAGTGTTAATTATCGAGTGCCTCAGAAGATTAATAAACCATTAGAAGCAAGAAATATTAAAGAACCAAACACACGTAGGTCTGCTGAGAGTCTCAGATCCAATGAGGTTTTAAACTGCGTGTGAACGTTTCTAGAAAACAACGCTGTTCTTGCCAGAAAGCCAGTAAGCTTTCAATCAAGGTGTAGTCAAGATGTGGAACAAGATAACAGATTTGGCCTTACATCACTAACCCCCTATCCCCTAGTATTAGGGGATTCAGTTGCAACACAGGGTAGTCTGGGATTATAGATGGGACCAACCTGTATAAACCTACTCCAAAGTGTTCGACCAGCTTGGGCCATCTACAGTGGTGTGTTATTTAGGAGCACTTAAAACACTGCTGGGCATCACCTGTGCCAAAAGACTGAACTAGATCTCAGTTGTTGCACAAAACCCCTCCATAGCTATTGTAACTGGGTCATGCACTGTTATCTGGAGAGACAAGCACTTAGAATTGCATGTTGTTTACTGGCATGAATTTAAACTGGAATAAATACAAGGCAAACCACTCAGGCCACTTTTACATGTGCTCTGGGGGTGTGGCTCCAAGAGCAGCTCTAATTAAAGCTCCGCCGTGCTTTAACTAAAGCTCATTTGACGAGCTTTAGTTCTGGTGCCCCTGCTGCCATTTTTAAGCGCAGGGAAAAATACAGGAAATGCAGGAAGCTACTGAAGTGCAGCAATTGTTACTCTCCAGCCAACCCAACGAATCAAGTAGGCTGACGGGCTCACATATAGGCGCCCTGAAGCATCCACCTTGGTTTTAAGAGTGTAAGATGCACAGAAATACCCAATTCAGCTG